GATTTGTATCTAGAATATACTCATATAAATAATTCTTACAACTCAACAATAAAAAAAAAAAAACAGTTAAAAATGAGCCAAATATCTGAATAGACATTTCTCTCCAAAGAAGATATACAGATGGCCAATAAGGACATGAAAAGATGCTTAGCATCATTAACTGTTAAGGAAATGCTAGTCAAAACCACGGGAAAATACTACTCCATAATCGCTACGTGGCTTAATCAAAAAGACAGAGAATAATTAGTGTTAGCAAGAAGATGGAGAAACAGGACCCTTGTACACTTTTATCATTGTATAAATGATGAAAACACTTTGGAAAATGGTCTGGAAGTTCCTCAAACAGAATTATCATATGATCTAGCAATTCTATTCTGAGGTATATACCCAAGAAAAATGAAAATATACATCCACACAAAAAGTTGTAGATGAATGTTTATGGCAGCATTATTCATAATAACCAAAAAGTGGAAACACCCAGATTCCATCAATTGATGAACTGATAAATAAAATACAATATACCCGTACAATAGTATATTATTGGGCAATAAAACATAATCAAGTACCTATTCATGCTACAACATGGATGAACCTTCAAAACATTATGTTAAATCAAAGAAGCCAGTCCCAAGAGTTCACATATTGTATAATTCCATTTATATGAAACGTCCAAAATGAGAAACTCTACAGAGACAAAAAATAGATTAGTGGTTGCCTGAGAGGGTTTCATGGAAGGAAATGGTTTGTGACTGCCAATGGGAATAGAGTTCCTTTTGGGGGATGAAGAAATGTTCTAAAATTGTTTGTGGTGATGATGGTTGTACAACTCTGTAAGTATACTATAAACCATTGAATTATACACTTTAAATGGGTAAATTGCATGATGTATGCATTATATCTCAAAAAAGCTGTTACATAAAGGCAAACAAACAAAACCAAAAAGTACTACGATATTTATTGTTCTTCTCTGGACTTGGTCTGGATTCTCCACACCATATGAACATTGCAGTAATGAAAATTAGTAATGAAAAGTTCTAATGTTGGTCTGACTTTTGCATAATATAACTCGATGACAGAATGACCACTATATTTTGTATTTCATTTTGCAAATCCAATATTTTTGTTTATATTTTTATACCAGTTCTGAATTGCTATTGATGTTTTACAATCTGGCACATAGTAGATGCAGAGTGAACATTTATTAAATTAAGTATGACTATATTATTATAGTGACAAATACTGCCAAATTCTCATAACTAGGCTTTCCCTATTCCAGATGTGTGAATTTTTCTTTTGAGGGTTGGTGTGCTATCTGAATTTTGCCACGGGTCTAATCTTTCATTTATTTTTACTGTTGGATACTTTTCTTCAATTTGTTTTTCAGAAAATTAGAAGCTTTTATTTGGAATAATTTCAAGAGTCATTCCATATAACTTCTAGTAATGTTATGAGTAAATATTAATTAATACATTCATCCAATAAATTATTATTAAATGTTTAATTTGTGCCAAATTTTATGCTACACGATGAATAACATGGGCTTTGGGAACTGCCTTCAAACATGGGAAGAACAAGACACCATGGAAAGTAAAAGGAATTTAATAATTGAGAAAACATCACAGAAATAATTCTAAAATTCCCAAGTGACTAAAAATAATTCATTCTTTCTTAGAGCTCTTCACTGAGCCTTGCCACTGGAGGGAGGTAGCATATCTAAAATATCTATCTTTAGACTGGAAATAAACCTTGAAACATTGCTGAGTTCATTCCTTATTCTTAGCAAAGAAGTTAATATATACAGTCACAAGAGGGGGCTGTTACACCTGCAAATCCAAACTCCTTCCAGCTGAGGGACAGGCTGTCATTGAATTGCACAAAGAATTTACAGTCATCCCTTTTGTCACCTTGTACTTTATAATCTCTTAAGTACGTGCACAGCTTCAAGCACACGGGTAAGCCCCTTCTCAAACACAGAGCAAAGAGTTGAACCTGCATGGAAAGAAAAGAGAGGTGATTAATACATAACCCAATCTTAAATGACCAAATACGTGATGATATAATGGACTGACGACCTTAGTTATTGCAGCAGAGAAGGATGAGTAATTTTAATTTCATTCCTTCCCATTTCCCTCATAACCACTTTTGAGAATAACCAAAGAAATTCCTTCATGTTTACTTACACCTCTTCTGTCAAATGGCTTCATTTCATTTTATTCTTCAAATCTTCTCTTCCCATCTCTTCCATCTCTTCTTTTCTCCTTAGCGTCCTCAGTGCATGCCACTTCTAAACATGGGCGTGAAGATATGAAAACACATGTTAAAGAGGGGTTCAAGTGAGGTAGGAATGAGTACCGCTCACGTCATTGGCTCCTGCGTCAAGACCAGAGACACCCAGCAATGTCCACATAGAAGATGTTTAAGACATCATTCCAGGAGCCAATGTGGGGACTTGATTACCAGGAGACATGGCTTTTAGCCTGGGTTCCAACTTTATTTTTCTGGTCACACTTAGCACAGCAAAATTATAAAACTATGAAATTATTTTTGTTATATATGCTGTAAAGATTTTCTTCCATGGTGTTATTTGGTTTTTAACTTAGCCTGTGGTAATTTTCTTTTCTTTCTTTTTTTAATTTTTCCCTAGAAAGAAGTTCTAACTTTTGAAGTTAAATTATATATTACTGCTTCTGAGAGTTGCTTGCTCTGTAAATATGCATAA